CTCCAATTCCGACATTACTAGCATCACAATCCAGTATGTGCAGCAGTATGAGGGATCTGGAAGCTTTAAAAGGGGAGCAGTGGCCAATTTTTCCTTCAACGTCTTGAAAGAATGCTGGCAAGAAACTGTCCATTCAAACTTTTGGCCTTTTTTAGTCAAATCATGTAGTGGAGCAGCTATAGTTGCAAAGTTCTTCACAAATTTGCGGTAGTAAGTATAGAGTCCCAAGAAACTTCTTAGCTCTCCCACATTGTCTGGTGTTGGCCAGTCATGCACTGCTTTCACCTTAATAGGATCAGTTTGTACACCATTCTCACTAACAATGTGGCCTAAGTAAAGCACCTCTTTCTGGAACAAATGACATTTCTTGGGATGGAGTTTGAGGTTTGCTGCTTTCAAATGCTTGAATATTTCCTCCAGCCGAAACATTTCCTCGTCATGTGACTCGCTGACGCAACAATACCATAGTAGGCGTGTTATTATTTTCTCGAGTAACTTTCCTAAACTGTTGATTAGACTAATTGGTCTGTAATTCTTTGGATATTTTGTTGTGGGACTGGTTTTAGGTAAAATTTTAATTATTTCTGACTTCCATAGAGAGGGGTGATGTCCAGAACTAAGAGAAAGGTTGAACAGGGCTGTTAGGTGTTGTATTAAAAGGTCTGAGGCGTTTTTTAGGATTATGTTGCGGATACCGACTTCGCCGGGTGCAGTGTTTGATTACTAATTTAACTTCTGTCTGTGTGATAGCTTTAGTAATGAGGTCAGTATCTGCCAGGTTTATGTGGTGATTTTATTGTCTGCATACAGTGCTTATATACATTACCTGCATAGAGGTCTGGTCTATAGTGTAATCGATGGATAGGATCATTCTCTCGCTAGCTATCGACCCTGATACATGCCAGTATGCAGTCTGTCTCATACCCTACGCCGCCGTTAATCATCGACGGACTACCACTCGACTTCTCCCCACAGGACACGGCTAACTTCATCCGCCACTACAAGACTCAAGCCCAAGTATTCCCTGAACGCACCCGACGTCTACGAATGGGAGGTATACTCCTCCAACCCAAGTCACTCGAAGATTTCCGCTACTTTCGCCACCCTTGGTCTTCAAACCCTCCCGTCACTTGCCAACTCAGTCTCCACTCAATATTTCTCAGGAACGTTCATTTATCCTTTACACCAGAGGAAATTCATCAAGCCCTTGAAATTACAACCAACTCTACGATCCACACAGTCCACCGTATCCCGTCAAAGAAAACAGGTTCACCCTCCACGTTCATGAAAGTTGTCACAACTTCCAAAACAATAGCAGATTTCATCCTCACCCATGGTTGCTACCTTGATTATCATCACTAAGGCAGAAAAACCTTACCGTAAACCTCACCCACCCCATACCTTTCCTAACCCACCCCCAAGCCCATGTTTCTCAACACCCTAAAGAAAACCACTGCCAACCAGTACTGTACCACCCATCCTATTACAATAGACCAAGCTACTCAAACCTCACCCACCCCTGAATCACAAGACATGTCAACCCAAACCACCACTACTAGGAGAAAAAAAAGGCACCCAGACCCAGCCGCAAGTCTTCACAGTTACCAACCTCCCGCCCCCAGCCACTTTCCACATCATCGTCGTCAATCTCACCGAACGCCTTACTAATTGACACCTCCCCCGATCTCTACCTACCTGACAAACCTTCCACCCACTTACCAACGACACTGACACCGAGGATCCCACGCCTTTACCACCTGCTTGAAACCGGAACCTGTTCCACAATAAAACCATGGCGAACATCAGGAGACTCCACAACTCATTCAAAAACTAATCAACCCCCAGCACCGGACTTCATTTTGCCTTCCCCACTTACTTATTTCTTCTCGCTAACCGGGCACTGGTAACGAATTGGTCGTTACCAGTGAAAGTGGGTTTTCTCGGGGTACTAATTAAATTCTAGGCATAGGATTTTTTGATCCCCATCGCCCTGATGGACCGACCATCAGTCCGATATCGGCCGTTTAGTTTAGTCTACTTTGCTCTTCACTTTTTATTTTACCGTTACTCTCACGTTTACTTTTTAAATTTACATACCTTATCTGCATTAATTTCCTGTTTTCTCAAGTTAAGCCCATATTCCTAAGCCATGCGCGGGGTGAAGGAGGAATGTTTAATCTTCGAGCACCCTAGATTAGTAATTATTTCTGCTAAATAACTGCCAGAAACGAACGAACACAACGTTAGATAGCAAAGACGAAGATCGAGAAATAGGTATTAGTGTCAGCGGAGGTATATATATTTTGGAATTATACAGTATATATACACTTACCTTCAAAAACTCTACCTAACCAATCAGAAGATGAATGAATACTGATACATTGTAGAAGAAAAAATCATGCTTTTTTCACATTTTTGTTGTAATGGGACACTGAAAAAGTTTATTTAGAAACTTACAATCACATTCCTTTTATTAAACAAAATTCACAACACAACAATAGTTTCCTGCAATTATGTTCAAAAGTGTTTACATCATATTGAACACTCATCTGAATGCTACAATGGAAATGTATTACAATGCACATACAGTTTCACGAAACAAATTCAAACAAATATTTTAAAAGTTAGGACCAAAACAATATAAGTCATATTTACATTCTGTTTTTAGTATAAACATTTAATTATATTGAATTGTTTTCTTCAAATGGTATTTTTTTAAATAAAATTCAATATAAATACATTTTCTTTTCTAAATGGCAATCCTATAACTATTGATTCAGAAATGCTAAAACATAGATTCAGTAATTTTAAGTTATGTTAAAATCGGAAAGATTCCATGAATGACATAACGGCATAATATATTCTTTGTATTGCTACTCTCTTAAAACCCTGCCAATGAAAATTCATGTTTTTACTTTTTAACTTGGTGCAGTTTTACATGTATTCATATCCTCATGTAGCTGTTAAGTGTTCTCTATACTTCTTAGAGAAAAACTACAAAGATTGATTGATAATGGTCCCACAGATCACTAAATGGAAAAAACAAACAAACCTAACATGAAATACACATTAAATAAAAAATATATATTATTTTAAAGCAAAATGACTACTGTTTTCTGTTGTTTCTTTGTTGTGTTAGTATTTTCCAATATATTTATCTTTAAATTACTTGCACCATAGTGGTTTTGGGGAAACTTCTGAACATGTTTTCATATCAATTGAATGTGTATAGTATACAAGACACTTAAATGCTCATTCATATTTCATGTACCATAAGAAGATATTGCAGTCTGTGGTAAAAGTTTCAAATTTGAATTCTGTAATGCAAACACCTATACATGTAAATCATAAACAATGAACATGAAAACTGAACTGTTAATCTTTCCAAAATAATAGATTGGTAATTAAGGGATAAAAAGAAGTGCTAAATTTTGAAACCTGAATGATGACAGTGTTTCACGAAAACTTACATCACATACACATTAAAACTTTATTATATTGTGCATGTTCAATATAAAAAAAAAATATTGAACATCCTGTAAAGATTGGAAGTGTATTAGTTTTTGAACAAACATGGCACCCATATGTTTTCAAGTTACAAACCTGCTAAAATATTTGTATATACATGCAACTCAAGTGTACAGTATCAGAATCATGGAAAAGGAAGCATGCATGATCTAGTTTACATGTACATATCATTAAAAAGGAAGTGAACACAATGCATGTATAAACATCTGAGTAGATCACATTATAATAATATATGCATGTCTAAAACCGTATATCTGAATATATAATCTAAATATAATAGACAAGGCACTGCAGATCTTCAAGTTTAAGTTCAGTTATATAAATAAATCTTGCAATTACTACTATTGTACTAATAATTTAACAGAATTGCAAAGTAACATACTATAGAACAAAAAGGATTTAATGTTAAATTCATAAATTTAAGTACCCACACTGATTGCTTGTCATCACAAGAACTACAACAATATGACTGACTCTGTAACATAAATAAATGTGGACACATTGAAAACTATGCAAGATTACTATAAACAATCATCATCATCATCACGTTTTAGTTAGTCTGCAATAAGGTCTTATTAGGAGCTTTTCAAATTGTGTCTGTGTTTGAATAAATATGGACAAGTTTAATTTTTGTATTGATTATTTGAAACAGAATTATATACTTTCTGTTGAATTAGTTGAATAACAATAGAAAAGAAACCCTTCTTATGTACATTGAAATAAATCTTCAATTTTTTTGTAAATACTGTTATACAATTTCCAACATGTGTACCAAGTATGCTGTTTGTATGCATAAACTCCTAGTTCTATGTTTATGATGGATTTTTAATTTTTTCCATTTCTCTAATGTTTGTTACCCTCCCATTAGAAAAGTAAAACTGTGGCAGTGATGAGGAATATGTGGTTTATTTTTACTTTTTATGGAATTATGAATTTTCATTTTACTGACAAAATAATAATTCAAAGGAAGTGAACAGACATAATGCATGTATGATTTACATGTAAATCTGGGTAGATCAAACTATAATAATATATGCAGGTCTAAAATCATGTATCTCAATATATAATGCAACTATAATACAAATATCTTGTTGTTTTTTACCTTTTAAGGCCTAATAAACTTTTATTTTACTAAAAAAATAATAATTCAAACCTACCTTTCTTTTCTGAAATCTCTCAGTAAAGAAAAAACATAAACTAGTTCCTTGAAAAAAATCAAAAGCTTATAAACTTAAACACTACATAATAAATTTGTTGGTTATGTAACTACCAAAATGTGGCACTCAAAGAGCTACTACAGCAACAACATTCAGATCTGATTCAACCTAGTTTATATTGTTCATCATCAAAGGAAGAAGGATCACATGACCAGACTGAGAGGATATTGACTACTAAAACCTTATCTAAGCTTAAACAAGCATGACACATGGATTTTAAACTCTTCTTTTTTTTCATCTCTAACCCATTTATGGTGACATGTTTTTGTAAGAAATATAACATTATTAAAATTACAGTAAATATATATATATATATTTAAAATTTAAAAATCCTACTGTAATATAATGCCACCTTTTTTCACATTCATTCTTTAGTTCTTGTGGAGGTAATCAGATTCACAAGGATAATACATTTTACACCAATACAAGGCCAAGCCTGACTGGGCTATTATCCCATGAACAAACACAAATGCAAACACCTGGTGTAATGATAAGTTTCCAAGAAGAAAATCATCTAACTAAATTGGTAATATAAATATTAGGAAGATGGGATCTAGCCTTGAACAAATATTATAAAACACTTACCTTATACGATCTTCAACTAGATAGATAAGCATACATACATATTTGTAACTCTGTAGAAAATTTACAGAATGAGGGGCACTGCTTACTACTCCTCATAAAATATGTTATTTAAGGTATTTCTCTCTGTAGATAAAATTACACAATCTAGCATTTGTTATAAAAGAAAATTTTATAATATTAACAACACACACTAATTATATAAAGATTTGTTCCTGCCACAATTGGCATCTGGTAAGTGTATAACATTACCTATATTAGAATAGGCCACTTGTAGTGAGTAAAGAACATTACAAATGGACCACAGTTAACCACAAGAAAAGACCCTGTTGTTTGGTTTTTATTGATGAAGAAAAGAATTATCCAAAACCAGCCTAGCTCAGCCATAAGTCCACAAACAAATTCAACTTTTTTATTTTTTGCAAAATCCACAATTCATATATTAAGGAAAACTGTAACAGATACAAAATCCTCATACACAGCAAATATTCCCAGAATATTCTTCATTCTTCAGAATCACATTCTTTTAAAGTCTCTGTACCTTAGAAGCAAGATTTTTATACTTACTAAGATTTTGAGAATATTTTGGATCACAATAACATTCTCCTTAGTAACTTTATTTTATTTTAGGTTTCAGAAACTGGGTACACATAAGCTGTTTGGAATGTGATGATGTGACCATCTTTCACCATATTTTCCAAAATAACACCACCTTTATTAAAATTGAAGTATGCAGATCTCCATTGATATAAAATGTACAGGAAAATAGGCGATGAATACTACATTCACTCTCAATGGCAGAAATACTAAATTCTCAATGGTGAAATGAGAAATCTATAAATGCTAAACATGTCACCTTTACATAATACTGTGTTATCTATTACTTTTTCTAATTTGTTCTATGACAGAGATACAAAATTACTTGAGAGAATGTATTTATGTGCAGATATTTAAAAAGGGTCAATTATATTAAATCAAATTGTTCAAAATATCCACAGAGTTACTGGTAACAGCCTTGCTGACAAATCTAAATGAAGTATAATGCACTATGATTCCTCTCTGTCCTTGACTATGAAAATATTGCAAATATTTCTTAATGTAAACAAGTGAGATAAAATTAAATATTAGTACTCGATGATCAGTAGATACTGAATCTAGGAAGGAAGAAAACTATTAAAATGAATCATTGCCAAGATAATAAGAAAGAAAGTTCTTGTCTATAACGTTAAGAATGGAAATGTTTTAAATTCTATCACAAGTTTATTACAGAGGAAATGGCAAAAACTGAAAGTTTCATTATATAAAACTAACAACATGAATTAACTCTTCCATTACCTCAACATGAGTAATAACAGAAGATATGTGCATTTTGTTATGAAACTAAAAGTGGCCAGTCTAACTGACATAATAATGAAATACCACTAGAGCTGTGGTTGAAATCACACATACACACATAAAAAAAGAAATGGCTCTCTTTTGGAATTTCTCCAAGACAGACCATTTGGAATAGCAATTTTCCAGTAGTGATAAAAAATTGACAGCAATTTTGACAAAATAGTATTTTCAACTTGTTCTATAAATGATTTGAATTTTACATTGTTACATAGAAGTAAACCAATTTCAAGCCTGAAAAATAGAAAAAGTTTATGTCCATTTTTACATTCAATCTACAACAGAATCTCTTTGAAATAATTGGGAATTCAAACTTCTCTTCCTGTCATCTATAACCACTGTATGACATTTCATGCACAAATTATTTTGGTCTGTATTGCTTTGACTAAAGATAGGTTTTACTGTATTCAACATTGTATTCAGTCTCTCTTCTTCAATCCAGTCAAATCAAAATTTCATTCTTAATCAAACAATAAACTTATTGTCAGTCCTCCAGTTTACTGTGGTTACTATTTTTATCTGTAAAGTTGTTAGATTATTACATTAGTATCTAGTAAAAATAAATAAATTAGTAATTTAGGTGATTATACAGACTTAATCATGAAAATGATACAATTTTTATCTTTTAACTGTTGCTGTCAAGTCAAAGTATTGTGATAAAAAAAACAGTATAAAATAAAGGGTTGAATTTTTTTAAGCACCTAAGCTAATAAAATACTTATAAAAATATGTATGCAAATTACCTTAGTTCACTCTGATTTGATGTTGCTGCTATTAAGAGCTCTGGATACACAATTCCCAACATTCTATATATATACCCATTTTTATTCAAAAATTTTAGCAAAGCATGCAAATATTGTTTAATTACCTCTTCAACAGATTGGTATGGTAGACATGGTTGTTCCATTGACTTTCACATTATAGTGCATTTGCTTACCACTTCCTGTACTGTGAAAGATCCTTTGCACTGCTAGGTGAGTTTGTTGTTGTCTGTAGGTAACAGAACTAAAACCTTCTGTCCAATCTTGAAATATTGACCCTTGACCTTCATGTTATAATAGTGTTTCTGACTGTCTATGGATTTGGCTTACCCTTTAGAACAGCTTTGATAGGTCAGGTTCAATATTTCTTTCGGGTCCTCTGTTTTGTAAATCTCTTTCCATTTTGTATTAGTTAGTAGCCGGTAGTCATCGGGTTAAGGCTATTCAAATCCTTAGGTTCATATGTAGAAGCTTTAATAAAAGGGGGGTTATGATTGTGTGGATAAGTATATAGATCAGTAGAATAGTATAATAACATTCCTTACCTTATGGACTTTAACATAAAACCCTGTACATCTCTTTTCACAGACATTTTCTCCCAAAGTTTTATAGCTTGAATTTAAATTTTGATCTTTTCAGGCTTTTTTTAGTATAGAAAAATAATTTTCCTTTTTTGTAAATATAATGAATTTTTTAAATTTTATAACATTTTTTGTAATCTATGCATTGAAATACTTGAAAGCCATTAACACACAGTTGAAGAACTTAATAAAGTGAAACATTTTTGGTACATTGTATATGGTGCATTTATTATAATATTCCTCCAAAATAATCTAGATTTTATTCACAGGATATATCAGTTTCATTGATAATACACATCACCATCACTTATTGAAACCCTAGGAGCATCAGTAATCTCATATTAAATGTGGTAAGAGTTAGGGTCTGACTGAATTCACTTATCTGAAAGACACACATTTGAAAAAAAAGACATTCAGTAACAAGGCCCTTCAGCATTGGCAGAATTTCTGATTTGTGAGGCCTGCTTCCAATCAGTGTGTGGCCAATGTTATGAGAGATCTTTTCTTGCTTCTCAGTCAATACATTATCAAGATATGTGGCATGGGATTTAGATAAGGAATTCTTATTGACCAATGACTGATCTCTATAACTTCTTGTTCAAGGCAGTAAATCTCAATCCTGGCAGTGTGAATGCAAACATTATCCTGCATCAGACCAAAAATCTGATAGAAATCCACCTGTAAGAAGAATACATAACTGGGTTTAGCTCTACATAAACATAAATTTATCATTTAGTAATTGCACTACTCAAAAGAACAGTGAGAATTTTATGTTCCTTTATAACTACACTTCTCTGCACTATATCCCTGAACCACCACAGATATAGTCATATTCAGTCATGTTACAATAAGTATATTATTCTTCATTTTATTATTATTTTTTTTTTTACAGATAATCTTATACTGCAGTCTGAAGACACAACTGGGTGATCATATATATAACTAAACTGTACTCAAAGTGGATTTGTCAATGCCATTGTTCAATTCAGTGAATTAATTCATCCACTTTTTGATGGCATTTCTTTCATGAAGGCCCCCTCCCCCACTACCCTACTCAGGCCCTCACCTGCCTAGGCTATTGGTACTTCCTGAGGTGTGCAAAGTTTGGTAACTACCACATAGCATTCAGCATTGACAAGTTGCAGGAAGAACCATCTATTGTCATTACAGTAACAGATTTCCATCTCATCTGACCAACAAAGTTGTATACCTTGTACTTATTCACTTACAACAAAAGACCAATAGACAGCATCCTACATACACTAGCTACACTAAGGTGGTATGTTGAGCATATAACAGCCTTGGACCAGGACAGAAAAGAGTGGAGAAGGTTTATGGTCATCTGAAATGCAGCCAAATGATGATGATATTATTCACCTCTAGCTCTCCAGACACAAACCCATTGTTCGTACTTAAAAACATGAAACCTTGACCCTAGAAACATTTAGATAATAAAAAAATCACCCAATTATAAAGTAAAAAGTAACTTATATGAAGAAAAGCCAACCTGTACCCTGACTATGAACTACAATAGGTTTTACATAAGAGACTTCACACGTTTAAGTGTAAGGATGATATTTGTAAGACTTTACCAGAAAAAACTGTAGAAAGTTCTTTGTTTTAGAAGAACTGTAGATTGTGACATTACCATGTATATTAAATACAAGAAAATTTGAGCAATGGTAATTCAAACATTTTGACTATATTCTAACCAAAATTTCAGATGAGTTCAATTGCCTAATATCACAATACACACACATATATAAATGCAATGTGCAACGATACTTTTTTTTAGATTATGTGAAAAACACCATTCATAATTCTGAAGTAAAGGCCCTTTTAGTTACTCTGATGTCTACTCAGCATAACTTTGTCACACGACATCTACTAGCTTAACTACTCTTTACAAGGGCTTAACACAAAGGATAAACGTGTTTGACACCAGAGATTACTCTAAAGTCATTAACAGTATTAGAAGCCTAAAAAAATTAAAGCATTGTTTTCACTTGCAGAAATCAAAATCTCTGTGTATAGATGTACTCATATGATGCAACTTTTGCATACTAACTCAGAAATCTGTGCAAGAAAGACTCAGGTTCCAGGTTCTTAAGAACCTGTACTTAAAGTAAAATCTTAGATGAAGTTTTTAAGATATTTAGCAATGAAGTGTAGGAAGGATCATAGAAATATGAGAGAGCTGCTGGAATATTCCCTTTTTGTGCTGTTTGCAGTTGTTGACAAGTGCTGATTAAGGATGTGAAATACATAACATTCAATATGTAATAAGTTCAATTCATTTGTTATCTACATATAGTGATATTTCAGAAGTAGGGAGATATCAATCCAAATCTGGATTTGAAAATTTTGTGTTGCAAAGATAAAAAAAAATAAACAGACTTATAAATTCTAATGTCTATTTTTAAAAAGTCTTTAAAACATTTCCCACTATTTGCAGGAAATTGAAATGAAAACAAGTAACCAGCAAGTATGATTATTTGGAAGAATAAAAATGTCTGTGATATGTCAATGTTTTTTCAATGTGAATGATTGCTTTGACATGGATGAACCATAACCAAAATTCTTTTTCTTGCACTTACTCTAATTAAAAGTCATTAACCAATTGATCCAAATCATTCTGCACTCTATATTACTGTACTTCAACATCCTCAATATAACTACAAATACCAGTGATTTTAATGTCATCAGCAAAATTGACTAGTTTACTAATTATATCTATATCATTATCATAAATGTAAATAAGAAAAAGCAAAGATGCAAGCACTGACTCCCCAAGGCACTTTACTTGTAACAAGGGTCCAGTTTGATTGGACTCCATTAACAACAGTCTTTACTTTCTCCCCTCCAACTATCCCACATTTCAATTAACTAGTCTTTCCCCAAATTCTATCAATATGATTTTCTTAATTGATCTTTTGTGTGCCATTTTATCAAAAGCTTTTTGAAAATAATGCACCATGTCTATTACCTCTCCATAGTCTGAGAAAAGTAATGTCCTTGAAAAAAAAAGGTTGGTAAGCTTGCTAAGCAAGATTTTTTTTTGCAAAATGCATTTAGTTTTTGTATATGATATCATATTTCATTAAATGATTTTGTACATCTTTTATTAGACTCTCTAGAATTTTATCCATTATAGAAAAATCACTAACTGGCAGGGTAACTCCTTCTAAACCACTTTGAAAGAAGGAGTAACATAAGCAACTCTTCAATTCTCAGGCACCTGCCCACGCTCTGTTGACCTACCAAAAAGGAAAGAAAGAAGCTCACATATCTGAACTGCAACCTCCTTTAAAACACTGGGGAAATCTAAAACAGTCCAGTTCTGGGGATTTAGCTATCCCTAATCTCTCAATCTTTCTATTATTACAGGGATTAATATCTACAAAATTCAGGCCAATTTCAACATTTCCTACAAAATGGTTAGGGTCAGGTATACTGCTAAAATCTTCTCTTGTAAAAAAAAAAAAAAAAAAAACTAAGAAAAAAAAAAAAAAAAAAAAA